ACAAAGGAATAAATAAAATCTTAAAAAAATAAAAACATAGGGTGCCTGGGTGGCTCAGTTGGTTAAGCGACTGCCTTCGGCTCAGGTCACGATCCTGGAGTCCCGGGATCGAGTCCCGCATCGGACTCGCTGCTCGGCAGGGAGTCTGCTTCTCCCTCTGACCCTCTCCTCTCTCATGCTGTTTCTCTCTCGCTCGCTCTCCAATAAATAAATAAATAAAATCTTAAAATAAAATAAAATAAAATAAAAACATAAAATAAAATACATCAGGGAATATTCATAAGAAGGAATAGTTTCTTTTGAACTGGTAGTATGGATTGGATGTTTGTGTCCCCCACAAAGTTCACATGCTGAAATCCTAATTCTCACATGTGATAGTATTTAGAGATGGGGCCTTTGGGAAGTAATTAGGGTTAGATGAGGGCATAACGGGGGGGGGGGCTCATGATGGGATTAATGCTCTTACAAGAAGAGACACCAGAGAATTTGCTTGCTCTGTGTGTGTGTGTGTGTGTGCAAAAAAGGGTCACGTGAGCACACAGCCAGATGGTGGCCTCCTGCCAGCCAGGAGAAGAGGCGTCCGATGCAACCACCCTGCGGGCCCCTTGCTCTCAGGCTTAGAGCCCCCGGATCTGTGAGAAAATAAACTGTGTTGCCTCCGCCCCCCAGTCTACGACATTTTGTCCCAGCACCCTCAGCTGACCAAGACAACCCGTTCCGTGTCTTTTTCATGCCAGTGACAGCTGGCATCCAGAGTTTTCACAGTTTGCACACACTTGTGCTCTCTTTGTCTCTTTCTTGACCTTTACAGAAACCCTTCAAGACAGACGCTACTTTCTTCATTTTACCGAGGAGAAAACCGAGGCCGGAAGAGCTAAGCGGCCCTGCAGTGGGTCAGCCGCCGGAGAGCTTGCCGCGTCCACACGGCCCAGCCCCTCACCCCACAGCAGGCCGTTCGCCCTCTGCGTCCCTCTGCCCTTGGCCCCTTGGCCCCTTGGCCCAGGGCATGGCTGACTTTGCAGGGACACTGTGGCTGTGTGCCCTCTGCCCTGGCCTCCCCGCCGGCCTCGCCCTGCTGAGCTCGTTTGCCTTAAACGCTCGGCTTTTCAGACACTAGACAGTTAGGTTTGGCAGGCGCCGGAGCTCCTCCCTTAATTTCTCTTTCCCCAGCGAAAATAGCCGACAAATCCACTCCCCTGGGGTTAGGCTGGCATCTCTCAGCCAATGTCTCCCCTCGCAGCCTGTTTTCCGTGATTCACATTTGGTGCTTGTATTTTATTTCTAGGCATTCTAAGATGCATGACAGATCTGTCAAGTGGCGGTAGCTTTATTTGCTATCAGTGAGGGACTTCACCTCATTTCTTGGGTTCCAGCTCACCTGTCACGTTAGGGGCTCCTGGCGGACAACGCCAGGCTAGTCTAGAACAGGCTGGGAAGGGCATGCTCTCGGTCCGGGGTCCCCTGCCCACCCCCCACCCGCTCCCGCTAATTCCATATCCTTCCCCAGGTCTCCTCCGTTTTCTGAACACCTTCCCACTTCTAATCTTCCCTTTTGTCTTTTTCTGTTTTTTTTTTTTAAGATTTTGTTTATTTATTTGAGAGAGAGAGAGAGAGAGAGAACATGGGTGGGGGAGGGTCAGAGGGAGAAGCAGATTCCCTGCCATGCAGGGAGCCCGATGCGGGACTGGATCCTGACACTCTGGGATCATGACCTGAGCCGAAGGCAGTCTCTTTAACCAACTGAGCCACCCAGGCACCCTGTCTTTTTCTGTTTTAAGCTAACATCTGTTCAGCACCTTCTTGTTCCAGGCACTGCATTACTTGCTTTATAGACATTATCACAATCATTTTCCGCTCCAAGAAGCTGATAAACACATTCATGGCAAGGGATATAGGACAGATAAGGTTTAATAAGTTACCCCTGGGGCACTTTAGTGGAAACTGGATCTACACCAAAGCATGAGGCTGTCATTGCAAATATGTAAGTATTAGTAAGGCAAATAAGGAAGGAAATGCATGGTTTGGTTTAGTTTGGTAGACTGGAGATGCTTTCCTGTAAGACCCTGAATCATGTTATCAGGTGTTCATTCACCTATTCCTCTTTTGCAAGGCTTGGCAAATACCCTTACTCAGTTTGGTTCTGCACAATGTACATATTAAGGACCTATTATGGGAGAGCATTCCACTAATCTTGCAACACCAAAGTTCTCTACGCAAAGGAGGCTCCTGGACTCCTGAAACTATAGAAAGTTCATGAATGTCTCTTCACAACTTTCAGGAGAGAAGTTTCATATCTTTCTGAGATTTTCAAGGTTTTTCAACACACCAGAGGATAAGAATGACTACTTTACAGAGGTAAGTTAGAAGGCAAGCCCCCAGATGTTAAGATATTTTGTAAAAAGTAAGAACATAAAAACAGAACTAATAGAGACACACACAGCTAAATGAAGCCCCCCTCTCTGTTACCGTCTATCATGGAGGTGTGCCATGGCCATTTGGAACAGAAAGACCCGGTACCCACCTTCACTCCCTCCTCTGCTCAGGCGGCATCATTCTGGACTCAAGCAAAACGACTGGCTAAGTTACTCTACCTAAGGCACTTGGCTGAATTGGAAGGCTCAGGAACTGACCCATCTCTTAGTCCACTCGGTGTTCATTTAGTAGTACTGCTTATAAATCAACTATTTCATTTCCTTGGCTAGATTTGCCTTGAATGAAGGGAGTCATCAAGATAAATACTTTTAAGTATACACACACACACCCATTCATATTGTAATTTAAGACAACAGGCTTAGCCATCGGCTTCATTCATTCATGCATTCAATTAGTATTTACTATCCCACCTGGAACCAGGCTCTGGAATGAAGGACATAAGTAAAGTAAGTCCTGTATAGGAGAAACAGACCTAGAAGCAGGATTGCAATACAGAAGTAAATAAACTAGGAATTTAATAGAAAGTGAGCAATTTCTCCTGGAGGGATAAAGAAAGCAGGGAAGATTTTACTGTAGAAATGAGCTGAAGAATAAGTTAAGATGAGACTTAACAAAGAAGACACTTAATACAGGGTTGCTTTTCATTCCTGCAAGCATTCACTCAACAAACACCAACCCAGTACCTATGGAGCTATGAGCTAAAGCTACCAGCTACACACTGACTTCCCAGCCTTCTCCTCTGTGATGGCAATAATGCATAGTCAAAGCACCCCTGAGGTGTGCCCCCTGCCCCTTTCTCCAGACTGAAAACGATAATTTGCATTGCAAACATCCTGGGTGGGGTGGAGGGCGCTTTGTGGGGGTTTGTGAGCAGTTTATAAGACAAGTTCAAGTCTACTCCCCTGTCTGGCTAAGGGAAAGCCAGCCTTTGACATGAGCTCTGTGGGGAAGGCCCATCTAACCCCCAAATCTCCTGCCAGAACCCTCTCATCCGCCCAAGGGTGGGTCATGAGCATTAGAAGAGCCTTATTTTGAGATGTTACTATGGCATGAAATGCTAGTATATTAATCTGGCTATGACGGTTCATACCTTGTGTGTAAATATAATCCAGTTCTCCTCTCTGAACGGCGGCTAGACCTCTCCCTGCTTTGGAGTCCACTTTGCGGGCACCTGTGAGAAGCCGGTGGTACCCAGGAATCGATGCCTGTCCACGGCGCTGAACCAAAGTCTGGCTGAGCACTGATGGGTGCAGGTGTGGGAGCAGGGTGAGACAGCCCCAACTCCCTTGGCTCTAGCCGGGTCAGGTCTCCTTACCCCACTCCCCACCTTCCGGCAGGCCAGGCGGAGACTGCCCCCTGCAAGGCTTCACCTCACTTGGCTTCTTCCTCTGCCCTGTCCCGCTGTCCCACTGATCTCCCCCCGGGGAGCACCTCCTCAGGGAACCCGACCGGCAGGTACAAACAGAAGAGGTGCTGCACCAGGAAGCCGCAGAGGAAAAATGGAAAGGCCTAGAAAATAAATTCCCAGTGCTTCACAGCGTTGCCTTGGGACAGCCCATTGAGGGTTTCCACCAGTGTCCAGTGTTGTCAGTACTCGACTCTGCCATGTTCCTAGCCAGGACTGTGACTGGCCGACAGCCATGCCATGCACTGTGTCCTCTGACAAGGACCACACACACGTTCCCTTATTTAATCCTCACAACAACCCCGTAAGGCGGGCATTACCTATGTTCCACTTTCCAGGGAGAAAACGGACGCTTAATAAGGTTAATAAGTGGCCCAAGGCCACAAAGCTGGCCAAGAGGGGAGAGCCAGGACCAACCCCAAGTCTCTCTGGCTGGAGACTGAGCTTTTCTTTCTTTTTTCTTTTATTTTATTTTATTATGTTATGTTAGTCACCACACAATGCATCACCAGTTTTCGATGCAGTGAGCTTTTCATCACCACATCGTCATTCGGGCTGATGGTCGCTCTCTCCAGGGGTTTCCGTGGATTGAAACTAGATCTCTGCACCGGAAAGGAGGCCCAGCCCAGCGGGTCTCCCTGGTGGAGCTGCTTGCCCAGCGCAGCACCAACCTCCTCCCACGGGGCTTTCAAAGGAAACCAGCAAGTCACATTTCTCCTCACACAATGTTCCTGATATCACCCTGAGGGGAGTAGAGGCTCCCAGGAGATCCTGCTCGGAAAGGGGGTGCTGCAACCTAGTCTTCCCAGGGAGACTGCACTGACTTGAACTGAAAATAAGCTTTATCGTTGGCTCTTTATTCACTTAGCATTTCCTTAACAGTGATTTCTGGAACCTGAGCTAGGCATCAGGTTCTGTGCTAGGCCTAGGGTTACCAAGATTCAAATAAAAACAACAGCCTAACCCCCACCCTTAGAAAAGGTAACGGTCTAATTTGCAGAGGAGACAGGTAGGTAAACTGGGGCTACCGTGTAGGAAGCGCTGAGGAGTACGACCGCCTGGGTTTTCGTTCTGGGTGGGTTTGGCACAGAAGTGCTCTGGAGTTATTTAAAAACCGTATGCTTCAGTCTCCTCAGCAGTATAATGTGGATAAAAGGCTTACCTCTTAGGGCTGTTGGAAAGATTAAACAACAAATGTATGCAAAATGTGTTCCTGGTTAGCTCCCGAGTAAATGCCAGCCTTCACAACATTGGGCAGGTGACTAAACACTTTCCTCCTCAGCTTCCCAATCTGTAAGTCAGGGCTAACAATTCTTCCAAACCTTTGGGTCCGTCAGTCAACGGAGGTTGCGTGAAAACTCTGAGCGGGGTTCTGGGGACAAGGAAGAGAAAACCATCAACCCTCAGTGAGCTCCCTGTAAAGCTGGGAGAACAATATACACAGCATATGTGAGTCAGTGCTGAATTGTACGGTGCCTACCCTTCCAACTGGGACAGGGGTTGGTCTGGAAGTGACCCACAAGGGCTGGAATAGTGATGAGAGGCACCCACAGAGGTGGGACCTGAGCTGTGCCCTGAAGAACGTGTAAGACTCTACAAAGGAAGGTCCCATATGGACCCCGGAACAAGAATGGGGTGTTGGTGGACAAGAGAAGAGATTAGAGTAAATCCCGTCAGAGGTCATTTAGAGTATAATCTAGACCTTCAGGGTCCCCTAAGTCAGTGGATGAACACACCAGGCTCATTCTTTGCCCACGGTCCCAGCTTGCCTCAGATGTCTCTTCTCAGGACCTCACTCCTCCAAGTAGCAGCCACTGGGGTCACTTATTCTCAGCTGTTCCCAGACCTTCTAAGAACTATGGGCTCCATGACCAACATGTGTCCACAGAGTCTGTTTGAGAAACACAGCTTGAAACGGCAAGGATGCCCCCACAGAGTAGCCAATCAGACCTTACTAGTGTTCCACGTGCCAAAGAAACTAGAAAAAGCAGAATCAACACTCCGAGTCTGACCCAAGGGAGAACAAATGAGGCAGTTATAAGAAAATGAGGTGTGACCCTTCAAATAGAGTTGGAAAAAAGCTCTCCTTCAAAGAAAATCACTCTCCTTGCTCAGTTTCCCTTGGATGCAGTGATGTCGGGGGGGTGGGGCACATCTATTTATTATTAGCAGTTGCAGGCATAAGCAATGGAACTGGAAACCATATGTCCCACCTGAACCATCCCTGCCCAGTTACTTGTAGCTACTTATCTGGCTCCATCAAATAGCACATATTACACTTGTGCCTATACAAACAAGTGAAAAAGGCTAATTTCCTGGCAGGAAATTCCTGTGTGATTAGTCAGCAACTCCAGTCCCTGCTCTGTCACTAACCAGCACTATGACCTTTAGCAGGTTCTCCTCTCTCCATCCCCATTGCCATAACCTTAGGCCAGGCCACCATGGCATGACCACAGCAGCTTCCAACTCATCTCTGTCTTCCCCCAAGTATTCCCCACCCTGGAGACCTTTAGTTTAGAGATCTTCCTAAAATCCCAAATCTGGTCAACTCTCCCCTCCCCAAAATCTGCAACGTCTCTTCATTTACTTTTGGATACAATTCAAACACCTCTGTACAACTTACAAAGTCATACTCTGGCCCCTGCTTACCATTCTAGACTCAAACCTCCTTCCCCTCCATCTGGAGTCCTATTTATTTAACTTCCGTGTTTCCCTGTATAATACTAACAATAACCAAAACTTACTGAGTATTTTCTATGTACCAGATATTATTCTAAAGAACTCTTCATGCACTACTGATTTAATCACTTCAGAGCTAGTAGATAACAGTTATGATTATCTCCATTTCACAAATGAGGAAACTGAGGTGCAGAGAAGTTAAATAATTATCCAAAGTCACCTGGCAAGTAAATGGTAGAATCTGAATGCCCCTTGCTTATCCTCTCTTCTTATCTCCACGTCTCTGCACAGGGATTCCCTCTGCCTGGAAGACTATTCACACTCTCCTTTCTCTTCCCCACCCTTTCTTCACTTGGCTAACTCCAAATCTTCGTCCGAGCATCCCCATGTATGTATCTTTTCCTCTGAGTTTTCCCTCCCCAGAAGGCCCTCTGCCCTCAATGGTAGTTTCCAAAGATGGCGCCCAGTGAATGATGCATCCCAATATATGTGCCCTGATGTAGTTGCCCTCACATATTGAATCTCAGTTGACCCTGTGACTCACAACAGAGTATGGTAGATGAGATGCTGAGTAACTCCTGGGCCTCAGTCATAAAAAGCCTGACAGCTTCCACCCAAATCTCTTGAAACACTCACTTTGGGGCAAATCAGACACTATGTAAGAAGTGCCTCATGCTGTGAGGAAGCCAAGGTAGCCACATGGAGAACTATGTGGAGCTAGAAAGATGCCCAGCCAATCCTTAGCAATTTTAGCCATCAAAGGCCATGCACCAGATATGTGATAAAGAAACAATCTTGAGGGTGCCTGGCTGGCACAGTTGGTTGGACTCTTGATTTTGACTCAGGTCGTGATCTCATGGTCGTGAGATGGGAGCCCAGCATCGGGCTCTGCAGTCAGCATAGTCTGCTTGAGATTCTCTCTCCCTCTGCCCCTCCCCACACCCCACTCGTGCTCGATTCTCTCTCTCTCTCTCAAAATAAATAAATAAAACCTTAAAAAAAAAAAAAAAAGGAAACCATCTTAGATGTCCAACTTGGTTGAACCTTCAGATAACACCAGCCCCAGCCAGCTCCTAACTGCAACTGTATGAGAGACCCCAAGAGGGAACCATGTAGCTAAGACCCATCAACCCACTGAACTGTGGGTTTGTTATTTGTTATTTTGAGCCTCTAATTTTCAGTGTGGTTTTGTTAAGCAGGAATAGATAACCAGAAGAATGGGGATACAGTGGTGAACAGGAGATTGTGTCTACCCCCAAGGAAGTCTTAGTCTAATGGCAAAGATGGTCAAGCAAACAGGCAAGTACAACACGGTATAATGAGTTTGGGTGCTGGAGAAAGAGTAAGGGAACGATAGTTCAGTCCGTAGCACAAGCAAGCTGAAAATCGACAGAAGTAAGCTGTATGATATGTTTGATAATAGCGTGGGTTTTTAAGTCAGATGAAGTTGTTCGAATCCTGGCCCTATACTTGTTTTCAGTGTGACTTAAGGAAAATTTCTCAAACTTTCTGAATCATTTATGAAATGGGGATAATAATGCTTAGTTAAGAAGATAGTTGTAAGGGTTAAATTAAGCACTGCTTGTAATATTTATCACATAGCCTATTATATGGTTAACATTTTATATAGAACATATATATATATCACATGTGATTAAATATAGTTAATTACTGAAAAAGAATATGTCCCAACAATAACCTGGGCTTGTCAAAGCTCACGTCAAACTAATAGCAGAAAACTCCCTTGACTCGTGGAACTTGTCTCCATGTTGTACATTTTATGACTAAATCATGAGTTATAGTCTACTTACTTGAAAGCCTGTATTTTTGGGAGAGGGTGGATTATTGCTTATACTTTGGTCTATACTAAACAAGAGACTGGACTGGCCACTCTCGGAAGGCAGGAAGTGAAATCATGTTCATCCTCATTCCCCACGCTGATAATAGCGCCTGTTATATTGGTAGCTACTTCCTAAATATGAGTTGAATGAATGATTGAATGAATGAAAAAGAGATCTCACAACAACTAAGCATGTATAAAGTGCCAGTACTAGGCGGAGCATCTTACCTAGAATATCTCATTGACTTCTCACAACCATCCTATGACATGGGCAGTATAGTTACTTCTTTTTTTTTTTTTTTTTTGGATAGAGTGGTTTTTTTTTTTTTTTTAAGATTTTATTTATTTATTTGAGACAGAGAGAATGAGAGAGAGAGAGAGAGAGAGCACATGAGACGGGGGAGGGTCAGAGGGAGAAGCAGGCTCCCCGCCGAGCAGGGAGCCCGATGCGGGACTCGATCCCGGGACTCCAGGATCATGACCTGAGCCGAAGGCAGTCGCTTAACCAACTGAGCCACCCAGGTGCCCAGTATAGTTACTTCTGATTGAAACCCCTCTCCAGCATTCAACACCTTGTTTAATATTACTCGTACCATAAACCTGAGGCTGATCTTTTTCAGAAAGCAAAAGTGTGGCTGACGTAACTGGCTACAGCAAGACTCTCACTGCCATGCAGAGCTTATTTTCCAATTATTCCACAACTATGTGAATAACTTTCGGAAGCTAAAATGAGCTGGTGAAGGCACTGTAACTGACGTAACTGCCCAGTAAGTGGAGTAGAATGAGGGCCAGGAATGTAGGTCCCTTCAAGACCATAACTTTGCAATTCATGTATGACAGGAATCCCAATCTGGGAGATCCAGCTAGATGTCAGGAGGCAAAGAACCTCTCTACTAAAAGAGAAGGCTCTGCATTTCGGCTCCCTGTCAAAGTGGGGGATGTAGCTCCGTCAGTCTGGATCCAGTCAGGAGGCAGAAACCACGCAGTGATTCCAACAGGACAAGTTTGATGTAAAGAATTATGAGACTCTGATAGGAGTACAATTATCAGATGTAAAGAGAACTGTAAGGGGTGCTTTAGGGCTGAGGGAGAATATCCAAGGAGAGGCAAACTTGAAGGGGAGGTCCCATCCCCAGGCTAGGCTTCAAATTTCACTGGAGAAGATGTGGTTGGTGCTGCTGGAAGGAGGGGAAGTTCACTGGGTTGCCCAGGACCAGAGCTGGTCCACAATTGCTGGGCACGCAGGAAGCAACTCCTCAGGGTGCACGCAAGCTGAGGCTGGTGGGCAGGTGCACAGAGGGAGTAGGGGCACCACTGCAGGCCTGGAGTGTGCAGAGCTGCATACGAAGGGCCACAAGAAGGCGGTCACTGGGCCTGCATTGCCTGGCAGAGACTGCACGTTCTGAGCAAACAGCTAGGACAGAACACCTTTGTCCTCACAGAGCCACACCGCTGACCACTTGTTCAGCAAGAACAAGAAAGGAAAACCACAATGCACCAGAACTAGGAAGAAAAGCCTACAATTTCCTCTTCAAGTTCCCCCCTTTGTCCTCTACTGAGACAGCTTAACATCATTCTCAGCATGTACAAGAAATGCTTAGAATCCAGCCTATCATCACAGAGCAGGTACTAAAGGGTGCATTTGGAGCTAAGAGGCCATAAAGTGATAACTGACATAGTATCTATGTATGAAAGGAAAGCATATTAATACTTCATATGGAAAAAAGAATGAGGGCGCCTGGGTGGCTCAGTTGGTTGGGCGACTGCCTTCGGCTCAGGTCATGATCCTGGAGTCCCAGGATCGAGTCCCGCATCGGGCTCCCTGCTCAGCGGGGAGTCTGCTTCTCCCTCTG